TAGGACATTTGGATAGGGGCTGATGTTGAACGCTCAGAAGAGGTGGCTGACCGCCTGTAATCCTCGCGTCTGCTGGGCGGAGGCCGCGAGACGACCGCCGAGACCGAGGCGCGGGATGCTCAAGCGTCAGGAGTGTCGAAACCAGCCCTGAGCAAGGAGGGAGACTAGTGCTCTACTATAATGAGAAGAGGAAATGTAAGTTGGGCCAACTAGATGATATATCTAGAACACAAAGTAGCGGCATTGGGTGGCACATGCCGTGTAGTCCCAGCTACTCGGGAGAGGGCAGGAGTTGCGCGTAGGCGGAAGCGCAAGCGAGCCTGGAAAGAGAGAGCGTGTCTCAAAGAAAAGAAAAAAAAAGAAGAGAAGACGTGTCGGTGTGAGGAGGGGAGCATGAGCATGTGGGAGGTCAGAAGAGGTGAAAGTACAGAGCGAGAAGAGAGGAGGAAAAGAGAGCGAGAAGCGCGGTACTTACTGACACAGCTACGAAATACTTTTGAGTTAGGGAGACGCGATAGCTGCATGAGCGAGTTGGAGCAAGGAGAGAAGCACTCAGGGCGGCTCAGTTCGTTCTTTGTATAAAATGGAGTATGGATTAACAACGCACTTCTCGAGCATGGTTTATGAAGGGATCAGCAGCCCTTTGAGGAACGTGGAGGAGTCGTGGTGTGGTCCAGCAGGGGTCGCGTCCCTGCTGAGCTGCCCGTTCTTTGTTGAAGTCACAGTTCTGGTGGAGGACATGAGCTATGGCTGCCCCACATGTTTGCAGGAAAGTAAAAAGTGACAAATGTTTGTAAAATGCTTGGTACTATAGGAAATAAATCAGTTGGTGTTGGTAAGCTGGTGCCCGATTAGGACAGATCACGAGGACACACAATGGCGCCACCCCGTAATATGGCTCTCGAAGACAGATTCCTGGGCCCGTGGGAGCGCGTGGCTCCACCGCCTCGTCAACCCTAGCACTCTCGCGCTTGGGAGGCTTGGAGGCAGGGGATTGTAGAGGTCCCAGGAGCGTCAAAAACCACGCTCGAGAAGAGGCATCCTATTTCTTAGTATCCGACTTTCTACTAGTGGACCCGATAAACAGTTCCATGTTACCCTTTCAGTTGACGTGTGTTGTTATAGGATCTTCCTTAGTCGACACTCATGAAAAACATCGCGAAGTATTTACCAGGAGCCCAGTCAGTACTCAGCATTGTGCCGGGGATCCGGGATACCTGGGCACAACTTAAGGAATTTACTCTCTAAAAGTCCAGAAATACAGATGACAAAATCAGCAAGCAGCTCCCTTCGGAGCTTCATTGACTGTGTGGCAGTGAGCATACACAGTGGTTTCAGCGGAGGCAGGTGAGAGAGATTGTCGGCAGGCTCAGTCACAGAGGAGCAGGGACGTGCAGAGGGGCTGAGAGGAAGGAGTCCAGCCTCGCCAGGGTCAGGTGGTTGGCAATGGCCTTGGCCATTCATTCATTCCTTCCACAAATATTTATCACGGCCACTGTGTTTCAGACCATGGGTCTGTAGTCATGAACAAAACAGATCTATTCCCTGCTCTCTCAGAGCTTGCAATTTACTGTGGAGATGACAGACATTAAACAAGTAAACACATACATATGTGATTACAAACTGTAACCAGTGCTCCAAATGAAATGTGAAAATGCTCTGAGAGAAGTCAGGGAGAGAGATTTATCTAAAGATGGAGTAGTCATGGATGAAAAAATTGCTGTTTCTGGTGAAACTCTGAAGATGAGGAATGGAGGCCCGGAGTGCGGTGGCTCACGCTGTAATCACTACGCACCTCGGGAGGCGGGAGGCGGGAGGATATGACTCAGGTCAGGAGTTCAAAACCAAGGCCTGAGTAGAGTCGAGACGCCCACCTTGAGCGTATAAATTAGAAAGACAATTAATTGGCAAAGTAAGTATGATATCAGAAAGTTGGGGCTAGGTGGCGACCATACCTGTAGTCCGGCTTACTCGGGCAGGCTGAGGCAAGCCAGGATTGCTTGAGCTCAGGAGTTTGAGGTTGCTGTGAGCTGTAGGTGGACACCACAGCACTCACTCTAGGCCTGGGCAACAAGTGAGACTTCGTCTGCAAAAAAAAATAAAAAAGAAAAAAAAAAAAAGATGAGAGTGAGCCAAACAAAGTTTAGGGGAATAACATTCCAGACAGATAGAGCTCCAAGTGCTTGGGCCTTGTGTGGGAGGCCCAGAAAGAAGGCCAGTGTGGCTGGTACAGAGTGAGGAAGAGAGATGAAGTACAAGGGAAATGGGGGCTATTTCCCAACAGGAAGTGCTGCCATTTATGTTTCTAGAAGATTCCTCTGTTGTGGGGGAAAAGGATGATAGGAGGATGCGAGTGGAAGTAGAGAGACCGGTGAGGAGCCTATTGTCCCAGAGCTGCTCAGTGACTTTAAGTGAATAGTGTTTTAGGGGGATGAGGCTGGCAGAAAGGTTTAGGATGGCTGGTGGGGAGAGAGCCCAGAATGTGGCCTTGTGGACTCATGAGTACAGCCTTTTGACTGAATCTAAATTTTATAGAACAAATCCTTTTTAATGAAGGCCCAGAACACCGGGGCCCAATGTTTATTCTCTTGATCTGCAGTCAGATGCAGGACCCCTGAGCTATACCCACTGACATCTGGGTTGGAGTTGGGTACATGTCTTGACCCCTGGGGAGCCACGGTTGCTGTGGGGAGTATAGCTTATGTTTCAGGTGTTTGGAGGGAGAGGAAGTTTGAAAACCATCCACTAGGAGATGGAAGAACCCCAGGGAAAGCCAGCAGGAGGGGAATTTTTAGCCAGATAAGTGCTGAAAGAAACTCAGACCTCCGTGGGGGCCCAGCCTTTCCTGATGGTGCCCAGGGCTGGGCGGCATCCTGGATGTCTCAAAACATTTTCTCTCCATTTCTATAGGGCCATGCTAATGTTATCTCCTGCCTCTGCATCAGTGAAGACAGGCGGTGGATTGCCACAGCAGACAAAGGGCCAGACTGCCTGATAATTATATGGGACTCCTTTACAGGGTAGGCCTTGTGCAATCACTTCTCCCCCCGCCCCCCAATTTTCTTTAGACTATCTGCCACTTTGACTACCCAAGAATGAGTAATGCTAGTGCCTAGAAACTTGGTTTGTTGGTGTTCCAGAGTAGACTGGGCTAGGGGAAGGCTGACTCATGCTAACTCAGCTCATGTAAGTACAAAACATAAACCAAATGCCAAATCGCTCACTGACAATGAGAAACTTTACTTTTACAAGGATGGATTTTCTAGTCACAGGTCAGGCTACCTCTTCTGGGCAGTTTTTTTTTTTTTTTTTCCTGGGCAACATAGCGATGATCTTCCATCTCTTAAAAAAAAAAGAAGAAAAAAAAACGAGGCCGGGCATGGTGGCCTTCACGCCTGTAACCTCTACGCACCTCTGGGAGTGCCGAGGT